CCTGGGTTTGGGATAAATGTTAACCTCCCATGAATTCAAGGTAAATTTTGCTGTTGACTTTGATGGGAGCAGAGTCTGACATTTGTATTATAGTTATGCATTTTTCTTTTTCACTCCAATCAAAATAGAAAAATGTACTCTATAAATCCTCAGACTCTTTTCTGTATCATGCTGGATCTTGCAGATCACAGGTGATAAGCTTCAACCATGGTATGTTAGTGCATTTCTCTGTTATTTAATCTCTCTTGATTATGGCAAATGCAGCTCCCTTCATTAATCTGTTTGAAGAACTGTAGCAATTTGATCTTCTGCTTCTTCCAAAAAGCAATGACATTACCAATGCAAAACAAATTAATGTTTCAGAATTCTGAAACATTTGCCTTGCACAGGATGATGTTTTTGGAAAGTTAAAAACCCCATAAGTCATATATGATGAACGTAAGGAGAAAGTTAGGAGTTTCTTCTGCTCTCATTTTCATAGTCTTTTCATCAAATACAGGACTAGAAACACTGTTAATATATTTTTGTGTAATATTCAATATATTTTCATGGTTATAGTCTTTCAAAGGAGCCTCTACACTGAACATTATGCTTAGTTTATAGTTCTGAAACACTTAGGCCTACCTCACTTACAGTGCATATCAATTCAGATGGTTAAAAGAGACTAATTTTTCCTTATTTAAAAAGCAAAAAAGGCACAAAGCTATTTCTTATCCAATTTCTTGTCTATTTTACATACAAAAATTGGGACCCATTTTATAAATGGATTCTGTGACTACCCTAATTTGAAACCAACCTTTATATCTCTGTGTAAGAGAAGCCCTCCAGAACAGGAGGAGACGACAGCTGTTTTCGAAATTAGTTGAAGGACAATATGAACCTTCTCATATATATTCTGTTCACAATTTCTTACTTCACCATTTCATAATTATCCACTGCTACAAAGCTGGTTTGGAAATTTTGAGTGAGTTCCTCTGAGTATCCTAAACCCTAAGTCATATGAATGGAGGAAACACTGAGAAGGCTGAGATAAGTCACATGCCTATGTTTAGCAAAATAACTTGCAATTAAAAACATCCCTTTTCCTTCAACTGACTTCAAGTATATTTTACTTATAAAAACAGTTAAAACTTTTGAAAATTGTCTCCTAGGAATCAGTTCTCCTCCTTCATTGGAAGAATGAGGTATAGAGGTACATGCAGCACTATAGATAAGGGCAGTGGTGGTGAAGCTGGTGTCAGTGACTGGTGTATTTGCATATGTTTATATGAAAAGTACCCCTGTTTAAGGATTGCAAACAAATACAGCAATCAATGGGGCTGTTTGTAGTTTCCTCTGGGATGCACAGGACCTCCCCCGCTGGAAAGCAGATAGAAAAGCACAAAAGTAATTATCTCCTTTTACAATATCCCTAATACCATATCGCCTCTGCCCATTTGCCATCCTGTGGGCACATGATTGTCAGTGGTTAGGAAACATGTAAGGCCTCCAGAGAAAGCAAAGGCACACCTTCTAGAAACTTCTCTGGAAGCATAATCAGGGCCATAGCCATTTACTAAGTATATATGCAAAGCTGGTTTTTACGCAGGAATATGGTAACTCCCAGGTGCTCCCTTCAGGAAACCCACACACACTGAGAACTTTAAAATGGGTACTGAAGAGCAGCCTTTTGCACCCCTCCTCTTCCAGGAAAGAAATAAAGGAACAAAAGTCCTAATGCGTAAGTTAAATGTTAGTATTTTCATAAGTTACCTCTTATTTCAGGGGTTTGGTTTTTTCACTAAGTTTTTGCACAGAGTACCAAATACTATCAACACAGCCATGAAAAAAAATCAGGGTCTATATTAGTGGACTGTCTGAAAATATGACCAAAAAATTAATTCTTTAATCTATGATTAGTTCCTATCCTCTAAGGGATATTTCTATATTGCTTATTTAGAAAGGACTCTAATACATGTACTTGTTCAGAAACATGCAAATATATTATGTATTTCCATTATGCTTATATAAATTCATGGTTCTGTAATTGAGAAGAGGTTGAAAGCAACATTTAAATTAACATAATTTGAAAATTTTAAAAGTGCAAAATCAATTGCCATAAATATTCCCATATATTTTATTTTAAAAAAATAACTATATTAAGAATTCATTAAATATGTTCAGTCTAATTTTTCAGCAGTATTTCAGTGGAACACAGTGTTACATTATTTAATTGGTAAAACCTGAGTAAATATTTGGCAACTTTGTTTGACATTTTACAGACTAATTTATTTACAGTTGGCTGTAATATTTTGAAGATTAGGCTTAAGAGAAAAAATAAGATCAGAGTGTTCTCCTAATCATTTAATGTTCTGAAACATTTACAGTTACAAAACAAATCCATGAAGTTGCTAGGTACGGCAAAAGGGGAAAGTTAATTAGCTATTAGTACTACAAAAGATGCTGTCTGATTTGAGGACACAGAATGATTAATTAGTTGCCTAATTGGATGATTTAAGGTCAAGTTTGTGTGCATTTCTAATTTAGAGCTGTAATTTACTATAATTTGGAAGAATTAAATGCATGTCCACTTTACAAAAGTACAACAAGGAAATGATCAAAAACATGTGCTAGTTGGTTTTTTTAATTGTTGTTGCATCACTGCCAAACTAAAAATCACATTTCTGTCAGTAAACATTTAGGAACATTAAGATGTTAAAAATACCATTTTGAGAATTACTTTTTCTCTCCAGAAATTCAGATATAGTGTTCCCTTTAATTAAATTTATTCTACTTTGCTCTACACAAAGAGCAAATAATACAAATATCTAAAGTTTGCATTATTAATAATGCTTGTGCATATTTGAACACCACTTCATTGTATAAGTTGTAGAGAGTAAAGCTGAAGTTTTGGCAACTGCCAAATCATTTCAGCATATAAATAGTTCTATTTAAATGTACCTGATTTCACACATAAAACTTCATTAAATTAGACTTACTTGAACCAGGTGTTGATTCTGCTATTTGATAGAAACCAGTAGGTGTACAGTATCTGGGATGGTAAGTACAACATATGTAAAATTAGGTTAAGAATTAGCGAGAAAGGCATAGAGAACAAAATGGAAAACTTCATGAGAACATTGACTGTGTTCCACTTCTTTTCTTTCTTCCACTCAAAGAGAAAGAGAATAGAGTTGGAAAAGGTATAACATAGATGATTGAAGACATAGAACATGTTTTGCACTAGGAATAAACCAGGATTTATTTTAGCCTGAAGAGGATATGATAGAAGTCAGTGAAATCAAAAGAGACATGGAAAAAGAGACCAGGAGATGATTATTCCTGGTCTTTCCCAATACAAGATCTAGCTGACATCACATGAGCTTATTGAGGGACAGACTGCACAACAGGTGGTTGAATTATGGAATATACTGCCTGTGTACAGGACAGCTGCCAGAATACACAATATCAAAAAGTAACAGGGTAAACTGACAGACGAAAAACTGAGGGCTACTAAAAACAATGATAATACATCTGGCTATAGAAATGAAACCATAAATCCAACAAAAGAGGGTGGAATTATGGCTTTACTGTAATCTTGACCAGACAGAACTTCTGGTATAAGCCAGTACAGCTGGTCTAAGTTATTCAAATTTTGTAACAATTTGGTTAGTACTTCGAAAGTTACCAAGTATGATGTTGAAGTTGCCATAACATGATCAAACATAACACACAGTAGCATATGTTGCCTTGTCATGACTTGTCACGAACCAGAAACGTTATATTGTAAAGATTTGCACTAGATAAGACTTTATTAATATTTTTTTAAAAAGAAAGGTAAGAAAAATAATAATCTTGTCTTCAAAATGTGAGAGCTGGGTCGCTTGAACAAGACCATCAGGGAGACGGGAACGGGGAGAGGATTTTCGGGGGGTTTGTAGCAGCACGGAGGGGTTGGGGGAGCGTTTGCAGCCCGGGTCTCCTCACCAGCACCGCCCAGCCCCTGGCACAGCCACCCCGGGGCCCTGCCCGCCCCAGCCCGGGCGCGGGGGAAGGCGCTGCCTCGGGCTCGCTGGTGGGAAAGAGACGGCGGAGGCGGCTTGGCCGCACGGAGCAGTCGCGGTTTGTTCCCTGCCGGCTGCTGCCCGTGTTCTCAAGCCGAGCGTCTTTCACCCGCTTCCACCAGCGCTGCCGGGTCCCCGCAGTTCCCTTCGCTCCCTCCCTTCCCTACCTGCGCGGCCCCGGCTCGGCGCGTCCCTGGCGGCGGGCGGTTGTCATGGCGACGGGCCGGCCATGATTGACGGCTCGGGCAGGCAATCAGTGCCCTGCTCTCCCAGCCCGCCCCCCGCAGGCGGAGCCGCAGGGGCGCGGCAGACGAGAACTACCTGTCCCAGCATGCTGTGCGCGGGGGGACGCGCCGGCGGTGGGGTTCTGGAGCGCGGGGCATGATGGGGGCTGTAGGCGACAGCCGCCGGCGGCAGCTCCCTCTGCAGCCAAGCCGCCCACGGACCCCCGCCCCAATTTCGCCTCGGCATTATCTCCAGGCAATGCTGGGGCCGTCTCCACCTGGGTTGTAGGGTTATGTAATTCGATGCGATTTGTTAATATGAAGATTTATATTCTGCATCTTTTGTATTTTTGATACATAGGAATAACTTAGTTTGCTCTGCTGCAATGTAAAACACAGGAGCCCCCGAGTGTCTTCCTCTCTGTGTGCAGCACCCAGTTCTGGTTTCTGATGCCACTCCGAGGTCCATCCACCCTTCTCATGGTTGGCAGGGTTCCTTGCTGTCTTCTGTTTCAGTCTGTACAGCCAGAAATTTCTCTCTGTTAAAATGCTTCTGTTCTCCCTCTTTGGGGCTTGGCCTTATTTTACCTCCTCTTTAGTACTAGTGCCTACAGGGGTACAAGCAGCACGAATTAAGCAGCTGAAGACTGGACACGGTTATCCTCTTGTCAGGCAACAATGCCAGAGGGATCATTTCCGCAGTGCAATGGGACTGGCCCAGACCCAGGGCAGGAGACCGTTTTCTTTGAAGTCCAGTTAATAACTTTAATAGCTTAATTGTGTATAAGTGGAATGACTTAGGCATGTCAGCCATTCCACTCAGTTCACTGTACCACTAGCTGCCCTTCATAACTACGGTTCTGTGACCTGAAATGGTTTTTATTCGTTTATTTTGTTTTGGTTTGTTTTTTGTGATGGGTGGGACACAGCTATTTATAACATGAACATTAACTTCATTTTCCCTGGTGCAGAAGCCTAGGTCAATAAATCTGGAGTCGGCACTACCATCCTATAGAGAAAGTGTGTGTTATAGCGCTGAGAGGCGCCCGTCACGTGCGGCAGGAGGGAGATGCGCAGCCGAAGGTGACAGGCGCCGCGTGTGCCGGTGTGCACAGCACAGCACAGCACAGCCCAGCCCCCCACAGCCCGGTACAGCCCCGCACAGCCCCGCACAGAGGCTGGGGCGGGCTGGCGGAGGCCGCGGCCCCTCCGTCCATCCAAGCGGAGCCGCGCTGGCCGGGAGGGTGCGGACACCGGGCTGCGGACACCGCGCTCACGGTCCCAGCGCGGCGGCAGCACCCCCGGGGCCCGGGTGGCAGGTACGGCTGGAGCCTTGAACAGGGTGAGGCGTGGGGGGGTGCGCTCTCGGCCCCCAGCTTTTGGGTTTGGGGTGCCACGGTACATGGGCGCCGAGCCCGGGAGGGGCAGGGGCTGCCGCGCTCCGACCTGGCCCGCCGTGGGGATGCGGGCGATGCCGGGGAGGCAGCGGCGGCTCCGCGTCCGTCCTCTGCGCCACCCGCGAGGCTGCGGCAGCCGGGCTGAGAGCGGTGTGCTGTGAGCCGCCTGCAGCGGCCGGGAAGGGGAAGGGGAAGGTCCTGGCACGGGCTGCCCTGACAGCCTCGGCTGTGACCACCCCGGCTGCGGAGCCCCTGACGCGGGTTGTGGAGGAACACGGCCTGGGAGCTGTGCCTGTCTGGAGCGGCGCCTCCACCCCACTGTGAGGGCCAGAAGCGGGTTTAGTTTTTTCGAGTTTGGTTTTTGTTTGTTTGTTTGTTTGTTTGTTTGCAATCCAGCACAGGACTATTGTAGTATCAGAGCAGGGGTTAACTTTAGGAATGCTGGATCAGCTGTGAGAAAGATGAGTGGAATACAATACAGCATACTGTATTGTATCCCGCAGGACAATGAATATCTGCTAAAACAGTAGCTGAACTTTTTTAAGCCACTGTATGGGCCTATTCTTAGTGTTAAACTGCTGATTGAAAACTCTTCTTGCCTTCTCTGACAGCTGGGGAAATTGAAGGTCTTGAATCATACCGGTTTGGTGTGTGCAGGGGCTGTGGAGGAGACTGGATGTGACTGAGGCATTTTCAAAAATCAGTCTTGGCAAGGATTTTTTGTTTGAGTCAGAAAAACTATTCTTATGCAAATAAAAAACAATTTGTCTAATAAGGCACATCTTTAATTTATTCACAGCCTAGGCTGTCTCCTCTGTTTTTAGTGTCAACAACCTTTTATCTGAAAGAAATATTCCTGGCTATCTCTTAGGTACTTTATAAAGCATTTATAAAATGTTCGGGACTCAGTGAATTTAGTAACAGATCAAAATCTAAGCATGCTCAATACTACAGAGAGTGATGTCTCAAACCATGTTTATAAAGTTCTCATCCAATCTTTCCCCCTCATACTCAACTAAAATGAGAGCCTCTTCTGTTAATCACGATGCTTGAATACAATTACCTCTTTGTCTTTCTGTCTGCTTCATGGTTGCTGTTGGTTTGCATTGGGTCTTTTATAGACAAAGAAATAGACATAATCTTGCTAAATAACAAGTCAGCGCTCTCTGGAAATTTATCCGAATTGCAATTTGTCATTCTGCATCTCCATTTCCAAAAGTGAACAATGCTAATACTAACATCTAAGAAAACTGCAGTGTGTCTTGAAAATTCCATTTCTTTCAAGGATTGGACATAGGCTTGTAGATGTGAGGGAAAATAGTAGCTACAACAGTAGATAAGTTTTCCAGAAGAGTGAATGTTCATGAGAGGCTTTTGGTGTTCTCCTGGATGCAGAAGGAAATGAGTCAGGATGTCTTGCATATATGCTGTTTTGTCAAGTGAGAGAGGAAGAACTTCTCAGCAAGTGACTCTGTAATTCCAAATGGACAGAAATTCCATTATTAAATAAGTGTCCTGACAGCCTATCTGCAAATTTAAGAATTTGTCCAAACTTTTCTGTGGGTTCTGCAGAACATGTGCAATAATATGAGAAAAGTCTGAAATTTAGTGTAATGTGCAAGTGCCTTTCACAGAAAATAAACATCTTTGGAGTCCAGGTTGTTAACGCAGACCAATCTGGTACTACTATATCCATCCTTGCATGTTTTTCAACTGACATGGACTGCTTTTCATTTCAGAAATGGAAAATCCTGAAGTGGTCGTGAGCAGCTGCGGTTCTCATGATGCTGAAAATGTTTGCAGCTACAAACGGCAACCATCAATATCACAGGAGGGACTTTTGGAAGACCAGCTTAGAAGGAAGTTAAAATTTTTCTTCATGAACCCATGTGAGAAATTCTGGGCCCGGGGCAGAAAGCCTTGGAAACTTGGGATTCAGTTACTCAAAATAGTAATGGTTACAGTTCAGGTGAGTACCTATGGAAGCAGGGAATCTTCTTAGCACATGCGAAGTCAAATGAGTGCAGGTGACATGCTGTTCATGGTGTGGTGCAGAGAAAGGGAAAGATTAGACTGCAAAACTATCTTCTTTGCATATATCTCGTTTAGATCTTAGGTGGCATAATTTTCTCCTAAAACTAGTGACTGAAAAAAATAGCTTTCCTAAGAGTGGAGATGAAACAAACCATGTTTAAGGGCTCAACTTGACTTTTTACTTTACTTTTTTTTCATTCCCGTTTTCCCCCCAAACTCTTGCATTGAAATATCCTCAGAAATTCTTCACCACTCTTTCTCACCCAGTCTTGAACCATAGATTTCATATAACACATTTATCTGCTGCCCAAAACACAATTGTTTGTCTCAAAGTTCTGTGGTTAAGGAGGAAGAAAGTCTTTCATAAAACCTTTCTAATGCCTCAGATGATGATCCTGCAGAGTTGCCCACATGCGATTTACCTTTATGGTGGTGTCAGTCCTATGAAAATACACATATAGAGAAGAATATTTTCCATGGTTGCATGAATTATGGGACAAACTGCAAAAATTAGAGGTCTTCTGCTGTACATGTAGCAGCATGTTTCTGTCCCTTATTGCTTCAGTTTGAAATGTATCATCATTCTCTGATTCTCATATCTCCGATTTTGCAACTAAAAATAAAATTTGATGATGGAAGAACTCAAATAAGAAAGAAAATAGTGCTAGTCTTTTCAGAGAAAATCTGCCTATAGGTAATTCAATCTTAGTACTGTTGATTTGCTGGTGCCCAGCACTGAGCTTGCTCACAGAACATTTCAGTATCTCTGTAACTGAATTACCCTTATCAAAACCTACATAACCAGTTTGCATCATGGCCATAAAACTAATCTGTAGACTACTGATTCAGACTTATCTCTGATGAGTTTCTTCACAATACACCTGACACGAGATTTGAAACAACAGTCAAGAGAATTGTGAGCTCCCAGAAACAATACATTATACTTCTAGAAACCTTTTCCAGCTTGGGTAATAGCTAGCAGGGGGTTTTGCTAACTTTTCAGGAACAGTTGTATTACATTTTTTTTACCAGCTTCAGAGGTTATCCTGTTACAAGCATAGTTTTGATCAGCTACTCTCAAAGCACTTTTCACTGAAACTTGGAGAGATGTTTGTTTTTCTGAATTATTCTCCATTTGCCTTTTGTGCGCTGGAGTAAGTACTTTAAAGTGGGGTCTTGTTAAGTCTCCTCCTGCTTTTTGGCTGAGGAACAAAGATATTTCCCAAGGCAATTCAATTGACACCAGGCTGAACTAACAAAACAAGTGTAACAGTATATAGGGAGCTTGAATTTGAGATCGCATCCTTTTCTTTGTAAAAATGAGAGTCCTTGGCTCACATGCTGGTAAACATATTAAAGGAGCATTCTTGAAACCCACTGTTTCCTTAAAGTCAAACTTTCTTTTGACCAGCTGTGAAATGGAGCAGCCTGCATGTAACTGCCATGTCTACCAGCATGACAAGAGTGGCTGTTCGTAGTACAGGACTCATACGTTAATCCAGAAGCGACTTTGTCTTTGAACAGGAAATATAAATGTCTTTTTCAGCTGGTGGTTTTTGGATTGAGCAATCAAATGGTGGTTGCCTTCAAAGAAGAGAACACTATTGCGTTCAAACACCTCTTCTTGAAAGGATACATGGACAGAATGGATGATACCTATGCTGTATACACACAAACAGATGTCTATGACCAGATATTCTTTGCAATAAACCAGGTGAGGATTGTGGCTGCAATATATATATGCCCTCTGCCTGGCTACCTTTTCTTGAATTGAACTTCTGTGCCAGTTGCTTAAGACTAAAGCATCATTTAGCATCATTCTGTCGTTGCCAGAGCATTGTACTTGTGGTGACATCCTTAAAGCTCAGTATACTAATCCTGCATTAAAAGCAGTCCTTGGATCTGATCCAGAATTCAGTGCTTTCTAGTAAGAACTGTAAAGAGAAAAATATAATAAGCAAAAAGGTATTTAGATCTAAATCCTGTACTTACTGTTTTTGTCAAACACCTTAAAGTATTTAAGGACTCAGCTGTAGTGTGGTTTAGGTTTCACAGTTCCTTAGGTGATCTTTTAAATAAAAGAGACAAGTTATGACAAAGATCCAAGCACTTCTGGGTTTGCTTTGTTTTGTTTCGTGTTGTTTTTCTCAGAGACTAACAGTTTTGGTGCCATTTAAATTTGTTTGTTTGTTCTGAACTTTAGTACTTACAGCTGCCCAACATCTCTGTTGGAAATCATGCTTATGAGAAGAGGGGAGCAGAGGAGACAGCTCTGGCCATTTGTCAGCAGTTCTACAAGCGAGGAATCATCTGTCCTGGAAATGACACCTTTGATATAGACCCAGAGATTGTGACTGGTGATGAACCTAATCTATTCTATCGATTCTTTGGGAGAAGGGACCCTACATTTGTGATAAATTCTTTTTAAAAAATTACAGTACTGTATAGTCTTATCACATGATCTGTATTGAACTTACTACCAGCCAAAACCGGTAAGAAAAGTACTGTGTAACCTTTAGCCCTCACCTCCGAGGTAGCAGTCTTTTATGTCTAACGCCACAAAAAAGTGATGAGTCATTAGCACCAATGGCCATCTAATAAAAGTATTTGGGACTAATTTCAGGCGCCTTCCCTGTGAATTCATGATTAACTTGGCTGGTGTTCAGGGAAGCCCGTGTATTTGTCAGCTAGCTTCTCAAATGCCTCCTCACTCAAGCATGCTATCTTGTCTGGTATAGCCAACAGCTCATTACAGCCTCGGGCGTGGGACAGGCAGATTATGGTTAAAGAACATGATAACCCATGAGATATTGTTGTGAGTCCTTATCCATTCCAGACTGCTTGTACATTGAGCCAATGACACCGTTAGACAACACAACAGTGGGAAAGCACAATTTGAATTTCACTCTGGATTTCCACAGGTGAGGAGGAATGAGCACTTCCTGTGTTGGGGTGTTGGTGCATTTTCCCTGTGAAAAGCTAATCTGAATGTGTTGCAGACTGGTGACCGTGCAGCTCACGTTCAATCTGAAGGCAATCAACCTCCAGACCGTTCGGCACCACGAGCTCCCTGATTGTTACGATTTCACTTTGAGGGTATGTGGAAGCCTGCCATGTGTCTTTCTGTTCAAAACAAGAACTTGATCTTGCTGGTTTACTGTACACAGTCAGCACAGATATTTTCTGAAGAGTGTTGGGCACCACTGGGTCAGTGGTCCTGAAGCACTTGCTTGGCTTACAGCCTCCTGTGTTCTAATCCATCTGAAGTATAATGAAAGCATAAATCTCTTTTCTTTAGAGAGATGATTCTGGAAAAGGTTGTTTTCAGATCATAGAGGAGGAATGAGAATGCAGTTTAAAAGAATTTCACTTAGTAGCTAATTGATCAGCCAATTTGTGGCAAATACATGGTTCATCAGATTTGTCTTTCACTTTGACAGCATTTATTTGAAGAAATGGGAATTACCTTAAGCTTAAACAAGTTTTGTAACTTCTCCCCTCGGAGAATTATTCTGAATCATTATGCAAGCTTGGCTATGGGCTACAATGGGCTACATATATAATGGTTTAACTTTATAAAGACATGCACCTTTTTTGTTTGTTTTTGGTTTTGGTTCTTTTTTTTTTAAATACAGATAGTGTTTGATAATAAAGCACATAGTGGAAGAATTAAAATAAGTCTCGACAACGACATAGCGATCAGGGAATGTAAAGACTGGCATGTTTCTGGATCAAGTAAGTGACATAAATGTGTTCAAATTTTCATGTTGAAATTTTGCCTCACCAGCACAATGCTTGTCAACTTCTTCTTTATTAAAAGATAAGGCACCATTGATATACAATCTCTAATATGTGAACTGTAAATCCTGATTTTCTAAGGAATTGTTCTTCAACCTCTGATCTGAAATCCTGGGAACCCAGCCACACCATTACTTTTCTTAGCAGTTCTCAAAGCTTGCACCATTGATAATGTCCAACCAAAATTTTTCCACGCCTCACTGTGCATCCTTCTGGCTTTGGCTACTGAACTTACACTGCTCATTTCTTAAGGCAGGGCTGTGAACTGTTCTAGCTCCAGGCAACAGGACACATGATAGTGGTTGAAAGTTGAAACTGATTTACTCTTATTTCAGGACTTAGCACCAGGAAAGATACTGAAGCACTGTTGTTAAGGCTTGCTGGAATGAAATGGCTAAAACCACTTCTAACTGTTGTTTAAATGTCATTTGCCATGTATTTGAGATGGTTAAATTACCTATATAGTGACTCACAAGAGTGAGCTGCCTTTGTTGGCAGCTATTTGGTCTGGTCAAAACATCATATGAGATCCTTTTCATTAGCGAAAATAATCTCTTTGATAGTCAGAAGCTTTCCGGGACTCTAAATTCTGCTTATTTTTAATTTTTTTTTTTCTGAAGTATGCAATAGGATGTACCAGGTTCTTTTTTTCTACTTTTGCTGCTTTCCCCGTTGCTGTGCCTATGTTAGGGAATGAAGAGCTGGAAGTGCAAAAGGAGGGTTGGTGGGGTTTTTTTAAAGATCCAGATTGGAATTAATTTGGGGGGCATTTACTGAAGTGCATCACAGAGCACAAAACCCACCCACGAACGCGAGCTCCGCTCGATCCTGCACCGCGTGCTCGCTGCCATGCCGGGAGTGCCCCGCAGGTGGCGATGGCGGGAGCGCTCGCTGATTCCCCTTCCCCGAGGGGTCCGAGGTTTGCCTCTCCAACACTCTTCAAAACCCTCTCCGGGAGTACTCCGTATTATTTTCTGAAAGCCAAGGAAAAATAGCAAGGTAATGGTCGCAACTGGACAATAACGAGTTGTTGCTGTTCTGGACTATGCTGCAAAATCAACTTAAATGGCAGCAGCACAACAAGCCAGAAGTGGGTGGGCTTTTTCTGAGAAGTGTGCTTCGTGGAGTCAACGACAACTTCAGCATTCCATTTTGTAGAATTGCTGCATCTTTTTGCAAATTTAGCATTAAGTTGTTAGATTTTTTTCTCAAGTGATCATTCTTTTACCATTAAAAACCTAATCCTCATACTGTCTCACCTAGTTTCATCTGTATGATAGGTATAAAAAGAAAAAAAGAGGTCTAGTGGTAGATTTGGTGCAAAATTTGACCTTAGATGATCACAAATGTGAGTTTTAGTAACAGAAGAGATGGAGAAATGTCTAGCTTGAGGTTGATCTTGGCTAACTGAGCAGCAGTACAAATTATCTGCACTGCTCTAGGAAAAGAAACCTATCTGACAGTCAAATACTAGTGTGAAAGAGAAGAAGATACATACTGTAAAGTTCCTAGGTTTTGGGTTTGGTTATTTTGGTTTGGTTTTTTCTTTTTTTCTTTTCTTTTTCTTTTTCTCTTTTTTTTTTTTTTAATTCTGTTACTCCAAAGGCCATTCCAGTGCTTGTAAAATGATCAACTCTCACCTCTAATTCTGCAGGGTTGTAAGAAGGACTGACACTCTGGTATATCGACCTTCCTAAATTTACTGAAGTGGTATCTGTAGTGCAGATGTACTCGTGTCTCTCATGAAAATATGTCCTACAAACTTTTGTGGGGAAAATGCTAAGCTTTTTCTTAATTCCATAAACATAGTTAACATCAAAATTTGATTCTTACTTCAATACTCAAGATGGTCAACAAAATGAAATGCATCTGACTATAATTATCTGCAATTTTGTTCTTGCAGTACAGAAGAACACTCATTACATGATGATATTCGATGCTTTTGTCATATTGACTTGTCTGGCCTCATTGATCCTTTGCACACGATCAGTGATTAAAGGAATTCGGCTTCAAAGGGTGGGTATAACTCCTTCCTTGGAAAGTCTTGTCTTATGTAAATCTGATTAACTGTTTTCTTTCCTCCTTTGCCCTAGGAATTTGTAAGCTTTTTCCTATATTATTATAAGAAAGAAGTGTCTTTCAGTGATCAAATGGAATTTGTCAATGGATGGTACATCCTTATTATGGTTAGTGACATCTTAACTATTGTTGGATCAACTCTAAAGATGGAGATACAAGCCAAGGTAAGCTTTTTACACTGTCAGGTGAAAGCAAAACTGCTTCTGTCCCACCTAGGTTTAAATCTCTCAGAAGACTTTAGTCTGGCTATACTTGAGTCTGAGTGGCATGAAATTTTAGAACTCTTTCTTCTCCTCTATTGTAACTGACATGTGTTGTTTCTAGTAGCAAGATATAAAACCTACAAATATCACTAAATATAATAGTTCTAATGATCTTTGTTCCTTGTGACTCTGAGGAATAAAATGAACTTCATATCTGAAAGTTTAGGACTGTTGACTTCCCCTCTTCTTCATTTAAGAACTCTTATATTTGCTCATTTGATGGATTTTTTCAAATTTAGCATTTAACTTTTTGATTCCTGTTTAACAAGTGTTTAACTAGCACAGAGTCTCTCTCCTCAAAGATCACTTTGCTGCTTTCCCAGCTTCTGATTTCCAGCATGTTCTTAACAGTCAGCCACAGCCAGGTTCTAGGCCTTCAGTTTCTAAAATAAACTTGATATAGAAAAAAAGCAAAACTTGTAAAAGCATACGATGTGCAGCAAGAATTAGGGAAGAAAAACTATATGCTACCCTGAAACACTCTGATATTCAGATAATGTTGTTCTTCACAAAATCTGTAGAAGGCTTTGAAGTGTGACATTGCAACATAATGAACTTTGGACAGTAGTGATGAAAGGATGGGTCTGAAATCCATCTGCTGACAGCTTGACTATCATAAACACCCTGTACAAATTGTCCTATCTTACCTTAGGAACTATAACTCAGTTCTTAAGAATAGAAAGAAGCTATGAGGAAGTTGGCTAAGATAAGAGATCTTGCTTTGGGAGAAGCAAAGAAGAGAACAAGATTGGAAAAAGGTCTGGCATTTGGGATTCTGATCTTATATTTGAAATACATCTGTTTATGTATGTTTCTTTTCTAAGAGAGTATTTTACTAAAACTCTTCTCTACAGGTACATTTCACTTCATTTTGCAAACCTTGTGGACCACAATAACAAGATCTTGTTCCATGTAACTGTATGAAAGTGGATGAATAACAAGTTCACATTAAAGTAGCCAAGTTCTAAATAAATTATGTTAATAGAAAAGATTAGCCAATATCTATTGCCAATATCTATCTGTAATATCTATTATCTATATTTTATTCTTAGGAGAATAAAAACTGAAAATAATAAAAACTTCTTACTCAAGTAAGCTGTCATGATCCATTTCAGAGTAGAGTTGAAGTTCAGGAACAGGATATATGCTAACTTGGAGGAAAACAGGCCAGTATGTATAGGTGGAAAAAAACAGTGAAGTGCCAATAAAATATAAATGAAGTTCTGGTTAGAATTAATTAGGAGCTAATTAGTCTTCTCTTTGATAGCTTTCTACACCTCATAGTTCCCAGCTACCTAAAAAGATCCTCCTTAGTATTTATCTGAGCAATGCTGACAAGTCATGCTACATTTTTTGAACAGCTTTTCCTATGTACTGGAAGAACTTTCTTTGGTCTGTGGTTCTAAATTCATGTCTGTGCTGTCCATTGGGATGCAGTGGAGAGATTCCTAAGCTGCTCTGGGAAATCTGTGGATGCAGATTCTAGGAGCAGTTGCTGCAGGCCTGGAAGCAGCATAAAAATGTTTGCAGTGCCACTCTACAGATCTTGGTGGGCCAGGTACAGAGGGGGTGTCTCTGCACCTGCAGTGCATCTGCGCTCTTGGCCTTGCAAATGAAGCCCAACTTGTCAGAGTCTGTTTTACAAACAGCCCTGTGTGAAGGCATGTGAAATGAGTTACCCTTGAAAGGGCCCTTGTTCTTTGGTGAAACCTCTCTCCAATGCATACTGCCTCAAACTAATTTCCAGTGAGAGAGTTTGCTAAGGAAAAAGTGTTTCTTAACAAATCTTTGTAGAAATGAGTCACAATTTAGAACCTGTCTTTATAATAATGAATTTTTTTTCTTTCTTATTTTTTTCTTTGTTTGTTCTCTTGGTGTTTTTAGAGTCTGACAAGTTATGATGTCTGTAGCATACTCCTAGGAACATCCACTATGCTTGTATGGCTTGGAGTCATTCGCTACCTAGGTTTCTTTCAGAAGTATAATGTAAGGATCTCCTGGGATCTTCGTACTGTTGGTATTTATTCTGTTTGTTGCTATAAGGGGAGTGGAAATAGTGTCTGGTTAAATTCTTACTTTTGTATTGCTTTGTGCAGCTTCTCATCCTAACCCTGCGAGCAGCACTACCCAATGTAATGAGGTTCTGCTGTTGTGCTGCTATGATCTATCTGGGCTATTGTTTCTGTGGATGGATTGTACTGGGACCATACCATGTGAAGGTAATGTACTTACATGAAAAAAGACAACTTGAATAACAGAATGAGAGGTTACTACTGTTGTTTTCTAAGTTTCCATGTCAAGACTTCCCTTAATATAAAAATAGTGCGTCTTCAACATGATGCTGCTGTGTTTGAGGAGTCTGACTTCCACGAGTCAATCAGACTTTCCCCGAGTTATGAAAGCTCTGAGTCAGAAGTGGAAGCTGCCGTGACTCCCAATCATATGCTGATATTTTGAGAAATTATTTTCATTTTGCAGAACACTCTTGTCAGACTAAACCTTTGGAAACATTATGCTTATCTCTTTTAAAAAAGAATTTGGCTTGTCTGAATTGAATGTGTATATGTATAGGAGGTGACAAACTTTACTCATTCATCAAATGTTTTACCGTTTGCACTTTGTCATACCCTGGGTGTAGGAAGAGATCCAAGGCAGCCAGTTACCAGCTGTGTATCTTCATGTTATGTACAGTCTTTGTATCCAAATAAAGCAGTGACAAATATTCTTGTCTTCTCTCCTCTCTAGTTTCGCTCTCTGAACACAGTTTCTGAATGCCTTTTCTCATTGATCAATGGAGATGACATGTTTGCCACCTTTGCAAAAATGCAGCAGAAAAGTTTCTTAGTTTGGTTATTCAGCAGGATCTACCTCTACTCCTTCATCAGTCTGTTCATCTATATGGTGTTGAGTCTCTTCATTGCACTCATTACAGATACGTATGAAACAGTCAAGGTAAGCATAGACTATTCATTTGGAGTAACAGTGCAAAACTGGTGCTATCAAGACTCTCATATCCCTCAATATTTTAAATTACCATGCATGCCAGACTAAAGAATAAACATAATGACTACTTTTGAGGGTGTAGAGGGATGACAGGAGGGTTTTTAATCCCTCTCTACTTCATCCTTCTTACAAAGTCTGTTTGTTTTCCTGCTCCAATAATCTACCGATTAAATATCTACTGAAGAGCAGTATTTTCACATTAGGTTCTGTGAATCTTCTAATTTCAGACTTGAGCAATGTCTGAAAACTGGTCCAGGGAGAATTTGGGTTACTGTACATTTTAGCCTTTTTAAAGGTTTAACTAAATATCAATTTTTAGCACTACCAGCAAGATGGCTTTCCAGAGACAGAACTTCGGAGATTTATATCACAGTGCAAAGACTTACCAAACTCTGGCAGGTACAGGTTAGAGGAGGAGAGTTCTCCATCTCTCTTCTGTTGTTGTAATGGTATGTATCTATATTAAAATTATATATTAAGTTATATGCAAAAGTGACACACTGCTAAATGTCCCTGGTATAAAGTTTATGAAGAGTCCTTCAATTTTGGGGGTGGAGGGGAAAAAAACAGAACACAAAAATCTCAGACTATTTCTAGTGCTCTAGAATGGAGCTTCAGCAAAATGTCAGCAGCCAACAAATTCCTTAGAAGAGGTGAGGGAAATTCCAAATTAAGAATCACTTAACATGTGTAAAATGGTACAGAAAGTTAGATAATATATACAGTAACTCGGGAAGCCCATATGTGTAATGTGCAAGCATTAACAGTTCTTGTACTCACTGCAACAGGCAGGACTTACAGAACTCATTCAGTGTTTTCTTATCCACTTTTAGTGACACCTCGTGCAGTAAGGTCTCCTAACTTAAATGGTAACAGGCCTGAAACCTGGGGACAAAATCCGCTTGTAAAAGTTTTAAGACAGCATGCACTTGGAAAACATTGCCTAACTTTCACTATGGAGAACAAATGCTTCAGTTATTTGAAGTTTTGTTTCTTCAGGAATACTGATTGCAGGATATGTGGTTTATATTTAACCATGCAGGCAGCAGCTCTGAGTCTTGCTTGCTGAAGGGCTTTTAGTGGGGGAGCTGAAAAATATTTGCCACTTGATTAAAAAGATCAAAGGTGTTTTCAATTCCTTGGTATTGGGCTTTTCTGGTGGACTGTATTGTTATGTGCCAGATAGAATATATTTATGAGGGGGAGGAGATGGGGACATATCTTGGAGCAGGGAGATGATAGAGCCTGCTGTGAGCCAACCCCTGTTCTGACCCAGTGCCTTACTGGAGATAAAAGTGTGGGATGAAGCAGAGCAGGGTATCTTGCTCCTGGGTAAAGGGCATGGACATGTTAATATTTCCTTTTCTGCACACACCTCTCAGTTAAACAGGCAAGAAAGCCAATATGAGGCAGGACAGGGTGGGGATGTAATAATTTTCCCACTGACTGTGCAGTGGGGATCAGGCATCTAAAAGAGTATTCTCATGGTCAAAATGTTTTATAGTGGTTCATAGCAGTTTCTTACTGATGTATGTCAAATTTCTAATTAAATAGTTCAGTTGCATTTTTAAGGCTCCTTGTACAATGAGACTATTATTTTGATGCAAATAACTTTCCTCCCCTCTCTTGTACAGGTTGTAGTGAACATATTTAATGGATTGTGGGAGTTTATCACAGAGGCATTAAAGTAGCACACATTGGAAGAACTGGACAACAGATCTGGTGGAAAACCTTATATCTAAAGCCTGAATTTGCTTTTCTTGAGAAACAGTGTAAGCCTGTGCCAGAAGCTTATGCTAAACTTACAGACTTTTTGATTAGACACTCACTGCTAATTCAGGGGGTTTGGGTGTTTGTTTTTATTAGCTTTATTCTATTTGTTTTCTCAGTTAAATTGTGCTAGAATGCAAAGGGCATCAAAAAGCTGTCTGTGTTCAGAGTCTTGGCTAGGTTATAAGGGTAGACCAGAAATGTAGTAACTTTCAACTATTAACTAGAACTAGTGTTGGACAACTGCAGCTTTGAACACCAACCTAACCCTCAGTACTGCTGCCATTATCTGTCCATGGTTGACCTGTTACTGAATGAATGAAAGCTCACTCTATAGCCCTCAGAATTTTTTGTTTATTTGCACTCATAGTAAAAATAAAAACTATGAAATTTGGTGTAATTTTTTTCTGGAGTCATTACAGTGAGTTGATACACAAACCATTCAAATATAGCTGAAAGCATAAAATCAATATTTCCTTAAACAGAAGTACCACCTGATGTGAGTGGCAGTCTCTTCTCAGAGAGGCCAGGGATATGCCAGGCTGAACTGGAATTTGAGGGGTGAGTAGAGTGGAGAAATGTAGATGTTCTCCTGTATCCAGCACTCGGTAGGATCAGTGACAGCCTTTGACTTTACAGTGTGTGGACCTTTCAAATTATCTATTTTTTTACTTTGAAATCTTCCTCTGGTTTACAAGTCTGTAAACATGAAGTGTAAACTAAGGTAAATACACAGAAGATATGTCTCTGAGAGTCATATTCCTCCACACTTTAGAAACTGGATGTTTCCTATCAACAACCTGCTACTGTCAATGGCCGGCTGAAACATTAGCTCTTATAAAAGTTCAGTTTTGACAACTTACTTTATATACTTTGTTGATTGTGATAATATTTAATTGATGGCTTATTTTCTATAGTCTATTCACTCTAGGAGCAGAACAGAAAACCGAAGGGAAACATATTTTTGATAACTTGCATTTGTGAGCAACGTTGCTGGAGCTGTGTGTGACAATGTATAATGTTGGGGAGGACACTGAATATGTTCTGTCTGAATGCTTACACACTGTAAATGTGCTACAATAAACACTTCCAGCTGCAGTAAGTATTGGATGTGTCAGTATTCATCTTAAGAGTAAATATGTTGCTAGGTTATAGGAGCTTTGTTTATTAATAACACTATACAGTTTCTGGCATCAAACAGTGTGGGGAGTGTGTGGACTTGGATTTCCTGTAGTCAAGACAGTCCCTGTGGACTCTGGTGAGGACCTGTTTCCGGCTGATCCCATTTAACAGCATTTCAGAATTTGCCATAGAAACAAATATTCAAGCATTAAACCTCACACTAAAAATGCTACTCAAGTTTAGCAAAGGCAAACTAAATACAAGGTGCAGGCAGAACAGATCTGAACAGTATCTGAAAGTTTTGTGTATTGAGGCCCTTGCCTTTTAATGGTCACCTAAGATTGAAGACTTTTGTAGCTTTTCAATAAGACACAAGGCAGTCTTGCCTCAAAAAGCAAATATTAAATGACCATGTTTTCTCTTGACACATTAAATTCCTTGTGGATCTTTGACAACACACAAAATATAATGTGCACATCACTATTGTAAAAAGTAGTTTGTGCAAGAAATTCTGACAAGGATGGCAAGCACTTTCAGATAATGAAGTGCAGCAGACTGATTTACAAGGCTTTTTCATGCAGAGTAAAGAGAAACATAAGATTATTAAATCACTTAAAATGCAGATGCCTTTTGTAAGCAGCTGTGGAATACTTTGTTTTCCAATACAATTGGAAGGCAAGAAGTAGTCTAATTTCATTTAGAAATGAGGCAGAGCAAATGCTTTGTTACTATTAATTTAAGAAACTGGCAACAAATTTCAACAAAATTTGGCACAGCTCTAAAATATCAAATTGTTACAGTTTTATAATAGCAGAGGGAAAGCATGTTAATAGAAGCCTGCAGTATGAGCATAAGGCATGGAAAGCTACAATCGCTGACGCCAAAGCAAGAAAAGATACTGTATATAGAGTCTTTCTATTCCTAACAGAAGCAGAGAAGTGTGATGTCAAAACATGGTTTCTGTTGCCTGAAGGGCAAACTTCACTGTAAAGCATGTTTTGCAGTAAAATCCCTGGTAGGGTCTTTTAAGTGATGACCTGTGTTTGTGCTACAGCTAAAAAGTCAATCAACTGAGATGCTGAAATTAATTGGAAAACCACGCTCTGTTACTTCTGCTGAACTCCACAACTTTGAATTTAGCGTTGCTGGCAGTTGTGTGGGTTTGGGAAGGAAAGAGTTGATGAAAGACAACTTGCCTTCAAACAGTTATGGGCAGAAGCAGAGTGTGAAGCCAGAGGGGAGGGCTGTCTAAAAGTAGGAGAAGGATGTGTAAAACAAAGGAAAAGAGGTGACAGCTGCTTACAAAGTTAGCAGAGCAGCATTTGCACATTTCTGGCTATGGGTGCAGCCTGATACAGTGGGAAAGAAGAGCAGTAGCCTGGAAGGTTACTGGATTACAACTGCTCAAAATGTCCACTTCTGACTGGAAAAATAAATGCTGCTTGTATTACATATCTGATACATATTTATATTTTGGGTTTTTTAAAGAAAAAAACCAGACAAACACGTGTTGTTTACCTTGGTGCTACTGCTGGCAATCTAGGTGCTTATGTCCAGATTTCTGATCTGTTTGATCCTTGGTGTTTAGGATCTCCATCTGCCTGAGTATTTCGTTTGCCTGAGAAGAAGCCAGTCAGTGCTGTGTTTTCTAGCCTACTGGCTGCATTTGAGATGAAGTGCAGCAGGCTGCTGCTGTTGCATGTGTGGTGAGGCTTTTTTATCTTATTTTGTGTCAATACATTATGTGCTGGCTATGGCTTTGCAGAGCCGTGTGACAATGATCTTCTTATAAAAAAACCCCTTGTGACTTCAAGCAGTATCAGTGATCTCAACATTAGCAATGCCAGTAGCACATGTAAAGCTGCATCCTGGAGACATCGGTATCTTTATGCTGATGCAATCAAGCAGGCACAGATAGAACTGTAAAATGCAGTGGGGGAGAGCAAGGAAGCAGATAATGCATCGGATAAACTCATGCTTAAAAAAGCTATCCTAAGCAAAACAGGGCTTTCAGCCCTGACCAAGAAGTTGTGGACAGGTAAGAGAGTTTCTTTGTTCTGATTCTCACTGGGCTCTGGAAAGAGTTGCCCGAAAAATACAGATATTTAGTACTTCCTTGTGAAAATCAGTCGCAGGGTGCTAAACTGGGTAACGGCTGTTTTCATACCAAGGCTTATTTCAATGCCAATGTTTTGCATATCCTTACAGGAAGAACTTCTTGTTTTCAGCAGAGCCCAGATCTATTTACAGAATGAAACTATACTGAGAGGAAGAGAGAGGTGGGGGCCTTACTTGTTTCTAAGTACCAGTTTTTATGTTGGATTTAAGCACATTCTCAAAGGAAGGTAAACAGTGTGCACATAAAAGAGGAAGAAATCAAATTCAGATATGCTAATACCTATCCAGTACTAAAATGTGTAAAGGCATAATTTATCAAGGGATGGGGGATGGTGACGGAGACAGAATGCAGGACAGCACACAGATGCTGCTGTAAAAGACCAAACCTGTGGCTGCATCTATCAGGAGCACCTTCCTGCCTGAGGCAGTACCTCATACCAGGTGCTTCAGAGGAAGCCTTCAGAAAACTTTCATGCATGAGCTGACACAATGCTCTTGCAGTTAATGTTGAGTAACTTCACATAGATGTTTGTCTGGGGTTTTGTTCCTTCTTCTCTCTTAAACTGTGTGACCATAACCAAACACAGCATCATCTGAGAACATTATGTAAGAATCCTATACTGCCCATGCCCACCGTGTGGGCAGGTAGAGAGCTCAGTTGCTGCAATGAAGCCTCTTGTGAGTCTGCAATCTGTTTTGAACACCCTAGTTTGGAGTAACTGCGTTAAGCCACGTCCTCTGAGGAACCAAGTACCTCTTGAGCTGCAAGACGACCCGCTCTGTAGTAGCTAATCTCACCTGACAGTCTTCCCCGCACGTTATCTCCGTGCCTACAACTAACTACCAGCTGGCAGTAAGGCGACTACAGAGTCTACTCTCGTAGCAAGAGCCCGCGCACCGGAGGGCGGCGGTGGGGCAGGGGTAGCCGGGGCCGCAGGGCACGTGGGCGGCGGGCGCCCTCCTCCGCCGGGCCCATAAAGGCGGCGCGGCCCGTGGGGCAGCGAGTGGGGTTCGCCGGTGGCACGGAGCTGCACGGCCCCGGCTCCCCCTGTCCGCCCCCGCGGACTGCCGGAGCCCTGCCCTGCCCGGGCAGCGGCCGAGCCCCGCGGCCCCATGGAGATCTCGCTCAAGTACCTGCCCGGCGGGCGGGCGGCCGCCAGCGGGTGAGCGGAGCGGAGCGCAGCGGAGCGGGACGGGACGGGACGGGGCGGGCGCGGCGCCGTCCCTTCGGGTCACCCCGCCCGGCGGGAGCGGGGTCAGGGCGCTCCTTCGGCAGCGGCTGCGGGAGGGAGCGCAGCGCCCCAGGGCGGGGGCCCGGCCCATCCCGCCGGCGGGGGCCGCGACAGCGGGCGTGCCCCCTGCTCCGGGACGGCCGCTGCGGAGGGGCCGGGGGGCAGCGGGCGGAGGTGGTGCTCCAGACTCTTGTTTGGATCTCCTGCACAAGGTAGGTCCTGTCCTCCCGCCGGGGAGGCTGGTGAGCAGCGGAGGCTCGGCCGCTGCCGCGGCGGTGCACGGAGGGCACGGAGCGGTCCGTGTGTTCCCCCGATCCGGCTGCGCGGGGGCTGCGGCGGCTCCTCCCGCGGCAGCCGAGCGCTGGGTGACCTTGGCAGCTCTGCACAGGGGGGCTTTCCCCTCAGTTTCCGAGTTCGCTTTCCTGAGAAGTGCGAGGCGATGTCCTCCTTTAGGCGAGTGCTGAGCTTAGTAGAGATCGTGAAGGTGAAGCCCAGGCTGATACGTAGAACGCGATTCGGTGATATTCCCCCCCCCCCCCCCGTTTTTCTCTCCTTCTTCCCCCCTTAACACCTCATCAATCTCGTTAATACTTCTTCGAGAGCTAGAGCTCAAATAGACAAATGTTTCTGATCTGGAGCTGTGATGGACACTGTTAGTGTTGCTATAGTAGTGAGTTACTCGTTAAAAAAACTGACTATGCTCACTTACTAAGTATATTAGCTACTTGGTGCTTTTTCTGCTAGGTGAAGAGCTAAGTATTAAAAACGTATTTCATGAGTAGGTAGCTGCAAATTGTAGTCCTTACTGTTGAAATCTCTTCCTTAAGCAGAATGCTGAGCCTTAAAGTGCCTCGCTACAAAACGTTGTCTGAACAGACTGACCTACCAGACACAGCATTGCAGTGGTGGTTAAAGTAATGCAGCTGTTAGAATTGAGTTAGTAACAGTTATTATATATGACACATGACACCTGGATATGCATCTAAGCATTCAGAGTAGAGTTAGTCTTCATTCACAAAAAATTCCCCTCAGTCAATGTTTTACAAAGCATACTATGGAAACCTGTTGAGAGGTGTTAATTACACTTGTGCATCTGAATTGAATTGTTTAATTTCTCTATTTTGAGTTAGGTGCTTTATTTGTATTATTTTTAGATTATCAGCCTAATAACCATTTGGTACAACTAGATCGTTTGTTTTAGATGTAATGTCACTGTTAATCTCTT